CCAGAGCTCTCTCCAAACTAGATATGGAAATGGCAACAAGTGGTTTAGTCAACATCTGTTCTACAAAGTCTTCTTTCCTCTTCATAACAATAGACAATTTATTTATGTTCTTCATATGACTCAACCATGCTAAATATGCAGTCTCTTAAGACTTAGTCTTTTTGTAGGTTTTAATGAGAGTGCTTGTTTAATATTAATCATGTAATAGCAAATGATCTAGACTTCATATGGTAGTAATCAGGAATAGGGATAAAGTCTCGCCTGTACCTTCTGGTGGTAAACACACAGCCCTTTAAATGAAATGTATGGTAGATATTTCTTTCTCTCAGGGAACCATTAACTTTAATTGGTCGTTATTTCTGTTTACCTAAAAATAATTCTTTCTTTGTTCTGTTATTTGTTTTAAGTAACAAAAATGTTTCTCTATAATTAGTGAGCAGTCCATGGTATGTTCAAGATTCTTCTCCAGAACCACAACTCAAAGGCATAAATTCTTCTTCTGTTCTCTTTAGTCATTGTCTAGCTCTGTGATGTATAGCAAGTCATTGTGAAGACCATGGCCTTGATTAGGTACACCTTAGTCTCTACACAAATACTGTTGGTCCTCAGTACTCTGGAGAAGTCCACGATAGCAGATTTTTCCAGTGCAATTCATCTTTTGATTTCCTGACTGCTCATGCCAAGAGTGTTGATTGTGGAGCTGAGCAAGCTGTAATTGTTAACAACCTCAATCTCTTCTCCATCCTTCATAGTGCTGTCAATTGGCCCAGTGTTGAGAATCTTTGTCTTCTTGATGTTGAGCTTCAATCCTTATTGAAGACTATAGTCCTTGACAGTCTGCAGCAAGAGCTTCAGATGCTCCTCAGTTTTAGCAAGCAAGGTTGTGTCATCTGCATAACGTAGGTTTTGGTGACTCTTCCTCCACTCTTGATGGCCACATTCCTCCTCATAAAGTCCAGCTAACCAAATGATCTGTTTTACATATTATACATTGAAAAGGTATTTTTACAATAACAGTCTTTTGCATTATTTGTCCTTATGAGACTGCATTAGTTTTCTCAGCATAATGTTCTGTAGACTTTGCCATGTTATATAGTATTTTAGGAAACTGTTACTCCTTAGTGCTTCATAGTGCATAGTAGTCCATTGTGTAAATGTACCATAATTTCTTAATCCATTGGTTTATTGCTGGACATTTGGGCTGTTTCCATTTTCTTGTTATTGTGAATAACACGGCTATGAACATAGGTGTGCAAATCTCCATTGATGTCTCAGTTCTATTTTCCTTGGGCCATAATCCTAGCAGTGAAGTAGCTGAGTTATATGGAATTTCCATTTTCAGTTTTTTTAGGAAATACCAAACTAATTTCCAGAATGGCTGTACCATTTTACAATCCCATCAGCCGTGCATGAGAGTTCCCACCTCTCCACATCCTCTCTAACATGTATTACTTGCTGCCCTGTTGAACTTTGCTACTACCACTGGGGTGGTGTGGTATCTCATGGTGGTTCTAATTTTCATATCTCTGATTGTCAGTGATTTTGAGCATTTCTTCATGTGTCTGTTGGCCATCCAATTATCTTCCTTTGCAAGAAGTCTATGTCTTCTGCCCATTTTATGATTGGGTTATCAATCTTTTCCTTATAGTGACCTTTGTAGTATTCTGTAAACTTGCATTATGAGATCTGCATCTGTGATATCATTGCCAAATGTATTCTCCATAGTCTGTAGGTTTTCTTTTCACCCAGTGGAAAAAATGTTGCCCACAGGGACTTAATTTTTAGAAGGTCCCATTCACAAAGTTTATTGTCCCCTTGATTGTGTATTTCTGGCTATATTTCCAAGCCTATTTATATCATAAGATGGGACTTCTAAGCTTGACCCCATTTTGTCTCTTATGATCTTTGTGGTTTTGGACTTTACTCCTACATCTTTGATCCACCTTGAGTTGATTTTTTCTCGGTATGGTGTGAGATGTGGATCCTGCTTTAGTTTTCTGCAGGTAGATGCCCAGTTTTTCCAGTACCATTTCTTGAAGAAGTTGTCATTTCACCATTTGATAGATTTTTGTTTCCTTGTCGAATACCAGTTGACCATAGATAGATTGGTTAATTTCTAGGTTCTAAATTATCTTCTATTGGTCTATATGTCTGTCATTGTACGAATACCATGCTGTTTTCATTATTAGAGCTGTGTAGTGGGTTTTGAGATAAGATAGTCTTCCTATTAACGAACAGGGAATATTTTTCCATTTAGTTAAATCTCTTATTGTTTCTCGTAGTACTGTTTTATAGTTTTCTGGATAAAGGTCTTTTGTGTCTCTACTTAGATTTATTCCCAAATATATTAATTTGTGGTTGTCTGTTGTAAATGGTATTATTTTCTTAGTTTGCTTTTCCTTATTACTGTGGAGAAATCCCACTGATTTTTTTATATTGATCTTCTATCCTGCCACACTACCGAATTGATCTACTAGATCTGACAGGTTTTTTAAGTCGTTGGGGTTTTCTGTGTACACTATGATATCATCTGTATATAGTGACAGTTTTAACCCCTCTTTACTGATTTAGATACCTCTTATTTCTTTCTCTTGGCCCTGGAAACATTTTTGCATTGCTCTTCCCGCTGTCAAGGTTGATTGGACAATAGAGCAGAGTGCTGGCCTGTTAAGACATATATAGAAAGGAAATAAAACAAAACAAAAACCCCTAACCCACAACAAAACAACAAATTCCGGGGCCGCCCGGTGCACCCCCGCGGAGCAGAGCGGGGGGGGGGCGGGGGGCTGGCGGGATGGAGCAGCCTGCAGCCACTGTTGAGAACTAGACCTCTGTTTGAAGGTCCCTCCTCTGAAGACATCACCAGTTTGTGGAGCCTGCCCCACACCCACCTCCTGCCAAACCCAGGCCTTTACTTGCTTCTTCTGGTGTTTCCCGTGTGACCCGTCCTGTGGGAGTGCCTCGTGGGCTGCCCCAGAGTTCACCCCACGATCAGCGGCACCAATGGTGAAGATGACGAGATCCAAGACTTTCCAGGCATACTTGCCCTCCTGCCACCGGATACAGCTGCATTCATTGCAGAGCTCACTTGGCCAATCACGATGAACTCATTTCCAAGTCGTTCCAAGGAAGTCAAGGACGTGCATACCTCTTTAATTCAGTAGTTAATGTGGGCTGTGGGCCCGCGGAAGAGCGAGTGTTGCTAACAGGACTGCATGCAGTTGCAAACATTTCTGTGAAAACTGCAAAACCACTCTGGGCTGGAAATATGAACACGCCTTTGAAAGCAGCCAGAAGTATAAAGAAGTGTCCACATGAATGCCATCCAACTGAACATTCTACCCAAGCGTGAGAGAGTGACTGAACATTTGGTTCCATCCATTTAGAGGCCTTGCCATCTGGGGCATCTTCCCACACTGATGACATCTTTCTGGTGACCGGCCTCTAAATCGTTGTCTCTCTGTCTTTTTGCTTTGTATCTGTTTGTGAGTTGATCCTGGCTTCTCTGTCTGTTCTAGTGTTGGCTCAAAACAAAACAACAAAAGGAACAGATAATCTGACTGCATGGCGGCAGCCCCCAGGCCCGTGCAAGAGCTGCCTGATGGCATCTTTTCAGAAGTGTGGTGGCACAGAGTGAAAGGAAGAAGGGAAGGGGTAACCCTGAGGGCCTTGGGAATGGTGTGGGGGTTGGGGAGGGTGGAAGTAGGGACAGAATTGTGCTGCTCCTGGGGACCTGGTTAATCTAGGCTTGAAATAATCAACTTGTCTAAAAGGACAAAGAGAAAAAAAAATACCTCATGACTGAAAAACAAACAAACAAACAAAAACAACCCCACAACACCAAATTCCTTCAATTTATGTAAAGTATGTATTGGGATACATTTTATGGAGTTTAATTGAAAGAGGGTTTTTCCCCAAAAATAAATTTTGGGATTAAATGTAACTTTTCTACAGTACTGAGACAAATCAAATTTAGACTGGTAAGTGAATAAGGTCAATATGAGCAAACATTTTACTTCCCTCAAAATTTATTTAGGTGTTTCTATATGAGTGCTTTATAATGTACAGACTCTTTTATATATTACATTATTGTTATTAAATTCCATCAAGTCAAGCATAATTCATAGTGCCTCTATGAACAAAAGGCCTGCACCCTGTACTATAACTATCATTTCTTTATGTTCATAGAGTTTCCAGAGGCATGTGGTTTAGAAAGTGAAAGTGTGGTAAAAACTCTCAAGACTAAAATTATATTGGTTTCCTTTTTATTTCTGAATTATTTATATTAAAATCCAAAACCCAATATTTATTTTTCAAATGTATATGATCCTCAAAATTTTATTTTAACTTACATTTTTTCCTTCACATTTTGATATATCTTGTCATTGTAATCCAGAATGCTTTAGGTTGACTAGGTATTACATTATCAGTGGAGTAAGTTTCTTTGTATTTTTCCAGTCTAACATGATTGACACATTTTACAGATGTGAACACAGACAATTCTAATTCCCTCTACATTCTACCCTCCAGTTTCTCTCTACTTTTTTTCCCTTTCTATTTTTCTTGATGACTTATTGGAGATGAGTACTACTAAGCAACAGTCATTAATTAGGTCCTGATAAAGACCATTCAATTTTCTTTTTTCCTCAAGTCTACTTTGTGGCCCCCCACCGTCCATTTGTAATCAATCCACTTCCATAATTGTGCAATCAGGTTGTAGTAGGCATAAAAAAGAAAAGGTAGGAAGAATAGCACCATTTTCTTTAGCCCTGAATTGCATGATGTTGGCTCTGCATAAGAAATGTGGCGTGTTCATTTAATTTCTAGCACAGTATGACAGTTAATATGTCAGGCATGCTAGGCATGAGCACTCAGGACTTTCTCTTGCTCAGGCTCAAGACCTTAGATTACTTTATTTTAGTAGTGGATCTCTAGCTACAAATTCATAATTGGTTGATTTCTACTAGAATATCAGTGTCTTCCTGTTTTTTACTTTCTAGGAACCAAAGAAGTTGTTGTAAATGTGGATGATGATGGAGTAATTTCTTTGAACTTCGAATGTGATCAGATGACTCCCAATTCTGAGTTCACCTGGTCCAAGGATTATGTATCAACGGAAGACTCTGCACGGTTAGAAGTTGAGAGCAAAGGCAACAAGTAAGAAACACTTTGGTGATAGTATTAATTTCCCTTCCACCACAGCAGCATGAAATAAGGTCTTTGCTATCAATTTTAAGTACTTGGGAAAAGGGAATGAAGTTGCAAATGTCTCTTAGTAGTGTGAAAAGTCATAACAAATATAAATCTTAAAATTTAAAAAGTGCTTTTCACATTAGTCTGTGTAAAGTACTTTCTCATTTATGATGTTTGAAAAGATTTGATCAGCATAGAATTCCTCTTAAGAGATGATTCTTATTAGTTCTATGAAATTTCGGAATTTTAAAGTAGTGGTAAGGATATTTGGAGGGTTACTAAAAAGAACTTGCTATTTGCTTCAAATGATGGTAAAGATGGATTAAGTTTGCTCTCAGGGAGCTTTGGTGGCCTAGTGGTAAGGAGATGAGCTGCCAATGTACAAAAGGTACATGGTTCAAATCCACCAGCTGCTCCAAAGGAGAGAGATAGGCAATCTCCTCCCATGCAGTTTATTGCCTCTAAAAATCTGGTAGAGAGTCAGCTATGAGTTGGCTCCAACTCAACGGTACAGAATAACAGCAATACCAAGTATAATCTCTTCTGTTCTTTTGACCATCATTTATGGATAGAAAGAACGCCATTATGTGAGCATAGACTAGATGAATTCTAGTGCCTCTATTCCAGTGTGACCTTGAGCAAGCTATTTAACTTCTATAGATTCACACTTTCTTTCTTGTAAAATGGGAGAGGGAAGAAGAGAGTGACTTTATGATCTATCACTTTGTTCTAGCTCTAAGTGTTTGAGTTTTCTTTTTTTTCTTCTTGCTTATCAAGCTTTGTATTGTTATAGTGCTGCCCACATTGAACTGTATTTGCTAAAGCCAAGTATTTCAGAGTACTTTGTTCTATTACAATGAAGACCATTATGTTGTTGTCAGGTGCTACTGAGTCAACCACAACTCATAACGACTCTGTGACTAACAGATCTAAACTTTGCCCTGTCCTGTGACAATTTCACCATCTCTGATAGATACACTGGAGCCATACTTTCTAAAGCTCAGGCCAGAAATACAAATAGCAGTTAGTTGAAAAATGGCAAGGAAATACAGGTTATTATTACAAGATATTTTTTATGTCACCCTAAGATTCTTGAATTAAAATATATATTTTGGGGAAAAAGAAAAGACAAACCACAAATCATTTTCCCCAGTGTTTTCACTGAACTAGCACTGTGACTCACCAAAGTTAGAAAACACAGTAAAGCTATACCACTGATCTACTCATTCATTTATTTATCCCACAAATATTTATTAAGCAAATATTATGTTCCTGACAAGGTATTGGGTGTTGGAAATATAACAATAAACAATGCCATTCCTGTCCCTACAGGCACAGAGATTAGGTGGTTGAGAAATATTGAAAATGAAATAGGCAGTGCCAAGTAGTATAAGCTCAATGGAGTAAACAGAAATATTCAGCAGTCACAATAACAGGTTTCACTCTATGGGAAGAAAATTCAGGCTCCCCAGCGATAACCAGTGAGCTCTGTATCTTCATGCCAGTTTGATATACTGTAAGCTGTAAATCAGCAGGCAAGAGAGGAACACTGTTCTGAATAGATGGTATGTGCAAATGCCAGTTTCTTAAAGGCAGCACAGTACATACATCTATTGATGCAACTCCAGTTTCTAAAAGAAAGTTCTATTTCAAAGGACAAAATTGACCTTCAAAGACCTTGGGGTGGAAGACTTGGGAATTTATTCCTGTGATGTAACAGACACTGATGGAATTGCTTCAAGCTATGTAATTGATGAAGAAGGTAAGTTTTAAAACAATGCATTAACAAATTTAGTGCTGCTTTAATTTTCAATAATTTCCCAAGATAAAGTGAAGTTGGTTTTGTTAATGAGATTTGGCATTCTCTTTTCTTTCTACAGAAATGAAACGTTTACTTGCTCTCAGCCATGAACACAAATTCCCAAGTAAGTATTCAAAATGTACTCACAAACAACACAACTGTCCACCAACAGATAAATGGTTAAAGAAACTATGGTATACATTCACATAATGGCATGCCTTCCAACACTAGGGAACAATAAAGAATTTGAGTAACACTGCAAACATAGATGAATTTAGAGGACAATATCTTATATGAAGTTGGTCAGTCATAAAAGGACAAATATTGCATAAGACCGCTGTTATAAAAAGTTCAAGTTTGCACCCAGAATCTTCCTTGGTTGGTTACCAAGGATGGGAAAGGAGGAAGAGGGGGATGAAAATTAGTAAATATAACATGTCGTTGTTGTTGGTATGTACCATTGAGTTGGAACTGACCCGTAGTTGAACATCTCATGGGTTTTCAGAGCCAGTTAATTGCATGAGAGGAAATTGCCCATCTTTCTCCCATGGAGCAGCTGGTGGATTTGAACCGTGTGCCTTCAGAATTGCAGCACAGCTTCTTGCCACTAGGCCACCAGAGCTCCCTAAATGTAACATAGATTAAAACAGTTGAAGGGAAGGACAGTATAGAATAGGGGACTAATCAACACAGTAACAGTAAAAGAAAAGATTTAGGGTGATAACACAAGAGATACAGTCAACAATAGGTATAGGCAGACAAGCAAGACAAATAGATATGGATAGGTGAAAATCACTATATCTATTACCATATGTAGGCTTGGCAGATGATATTTCTACATTAATAGAAGCATATGCTGTAAATACATGCATGTATATAGTAGAAAAAACAGAGAACAATGCTTTATAGACTTTTTCATCATAATCATGTACCCCAAGGGAATGAGTTGTTGGTTCTCAGCCCTTGCAACCATAGACTTGTAAGACAACAAGGTCAATTGGCATAACATAATCCACAAGGGCAATGTTCTATGTTCTACTCTTGTGAGTAATGACTAGAATCTTAAAAGCTTGCGAGCAGCCATCTAAGGAGCAACTATTGGTCTATCCCTGTCTGGAACAAAGAAGATGGAAGAAAAGCAAAGATAAACTGAAATAATTCATCCAAAGAATTAGTGGATCGTGAACATCTCAACCTCTCTTACCCTGAGACCAGAACTAGATAGTGCTATGCTGCCACCTCTGACCACTGTAAAGGAGATGATGGCAGAAGAGCATGGATGAAGTGAAGGGAAATGTGGAACAAAATTTAAAAACCTCAAAATACCACCTTACTGGTCCATTGGAGATTCGTGGAACCCTGAAATTATCACCTTAGTCACCTCTAAAGCTGGAACAAAATAAAACTCACCTCTGTGTCTCAACTGCCACCCAAATAATTAAAGTCTTTGGGTGAACAAGGCACCCAGTGCAAAATCTCCCCCCATGTGATTAACTGCTGCTGAACTCCCACGGGAGGATCAGCTATGGGTTGGTTCTGACTTGATGGTATATAACAACAATAAGCAATGTTAAGTGAATAGTAGCACCAATAAGGTACTCATTTCTTAGAATAATCAAGAGGCAGTAAATTGCGTGGGAGATTGCCCATCCTTCTCCCGCAGAGCTGCTGGTGGCCTCAAACTGCATGCCTTCGGGATTGCATCTAATTCTAACATTGTGCAATTAAGTTCTCCATGTTTTACCTACATATTTTGGAATCAGTATGTGTCTTTTGGATTTAGTCACTAAGCCATACCTGTAGGTCTGGCTGGATGGGATATACAAGAATCGTATGGACTAATCTCTAGAAAGAGACAGTAGAAAGGCTCAATACCATCAGTCAGAATAAATTCAGGAACTGATGACAGAACAGATTATCAATTAGTCCCATGTAGGTGCAGACTGAAGCTGAAGCAAATGAAACTATGTCTAAGAGATCCAAAGTATAATCTTGAGTACATACCACTTGAATTTGGAGACTGCCTCAAGAACAAGTTTGCCTCCCTGAACACTGAGTGAAGACCATATGAAAAGTGGGATGACATCAATGGTATCCTATGTGAAGAAAGCAAAGGGCATTAAATAGACAGAAAAGAAAAAGGTGTAAAGTGGATGAGACTCTGCAACTTACTTTCTAATGTAAAGTAGCTAAAGTGGAAGGGAGGAAAGAGAAACAGAAGAGCTGAGCAAAGGATTTAAAAGGTGGCTTGAAAAGCAAAGTATTATGATGAAATGTGAAAAACCCTGGCATTAGAAAACCAAAAGAGAGGAATACATTTAGTGTATTTCAAGTTGAAGGAGAAGAAGTCAGTCTTCCTGTTAAATAGTGAAAGATTCTATGGGCAAAAAATTGAACAATGCAGGAAATATCAGAAGAAGATGAAAAGAATGTACAGTGTCACTGCAGCAGAAAAAAACTGCTTCATATGTAACCATTTCAATACTTAGAATATGATCCAGAACTAAGGGCATAGAAGTCCAAACTGCACTGGAAACATTAGTAAAAACTAGTTCCAAAAACTGATGGAACACCAAAATGTTTCAACTAAGAGATGCAATATTGCACATGCTCACTTTTATATGCCAAGAAACTTGAAAGACCAACTAACTGGAAAAGATTTACCTGGCCAGCCAATTGGAAAGGCTCTATATGCCTAATCCAAGGAAAGAAGATCCTATGTGATGTGAAAATTATCAGACAGTATCACTAACACCACACCCAAGTACAATTTTGCTGAAGGTAATTTTTTTAATCACTCTTGCAGTGGTGCATCCAAAAGGTGGGGGTGTTGATTACCTTTGAGTCAAGCACAACTCATAGCAACCCTATGCACAAAAGGCTTGAAGCCCCTCTACAACTATCGACATTTATCCAAGTTCATAGGGTTTCTGTAGGCATGTTACTTAGGAAGTGGATGCCACTCCTGCTTCACTACCTGTCATGGTATGTTATTGCTTTTATATGCCTTTGAGTCACTTGTGTTGTATAGCAACCCTATGTACAGCAGCTCCGAACCCTTCCCTGTCCTGAGCCAGTGTCACTAACTCCAACACACCAACCCCCATCGCCCCAGTCACTATATCAATCCATCTCCTCCTGGGTCTTACTTTCCTGTGCTGTTCCTCCACCCTTCTGAGCATGATGTCCTTCTCCAAGGACTGATCTCTCCTGGCCACATGACCAAAGTAAATGAAGCGGAGCTTCAAAATCCTAGCTTCCAAGGAGAGATTTGGTTTCACCCTCTCCAAGACAGACCTATTTGTTTTCTTGATGGTCCATGGCATGTTCAAGACTCTTCACCAGCACCACAACTCGAAGGAACTGCCAGAAATCCAGGCCAAACTCAGAAGATCTTTTTTTGGTGTCAAGAGTGGGATACACAGACGAGTATCTTCCTTGAAGAATATTGTTGCTTAGAGAAAATAGTGCAACAATGAATGAATGAAAACCCTAAATGTCTGTAAATGTTCATTAAAATTAATAAAATTTAATTAAAAAAGAGAATATTGTTGCTGATGCCAGATGAATCCTGGGTAAAAGCAGAGAACACCAGGAAGATATTTGCCTGTGTTTTATTAACTATACCAAAGAATCTGACTATATGAATCATGACAAATTATGGATAACATTAGAGAGAATGCGAATCCCATGTCTCTTAATTGTGTTAATGTAGAAGCTATACATAGACCAAGAGGCAGCTGTTTAAGAACAGAAGTATATCACCTGGTTAAAAAATCAGGAAAAGTGTGGGTAAGGTCTGTATCCTTTTACCATACTTATTCCAATTATCACTGAATCATCCAAGAATGCAGTGTCAGGACTAGAGAAAGACCAGGTAACCTTGCTTACTGAAAGCAAAAAGGACTTGACATACTATTCTGATGCAGATCAAAGACAACAGGCTTCAATAGATTACACTGCAATGTTAGGAAAATTTTAATCCTTACAACTGGAACAACACAAAATTATCATGTTAAAGAAGAAAATAATGGAGTTGTAAAGGATTTCATTTTACTTGGAAGCACAATCAACATCCATGGAAGCAACAGTCAAGAAATCAAATGATGGAGTGAATTGGGCAAATCTGCTGACCCGACCTCCTCAACTGTTAAAAAGAAGCATGATCTTGAGGAGTAAAATACACCTGATCCTATCCATGGTGTTTTCTGTTGACTTATATGTATATGAAAGCTGGACACTGAATGGAAAGGAATGAAGAATGGTTGCATTTGAATTAGGGTACTGGCAAAGACCATTGACTCTAACAAGAATTGCCTGAAGAATACACAAATCTATCTTGGAAGAGGCACAGCCAAAATGTGACTTGGAGATGAGGGTAATGAAAATAAATTTAGGACTTTTACAGGAGTCAAAGCTCCAAACGGAGATAATTTAAAGACAAAACCTCCCATTTGAAACTTCTAGAAAATTAGGTACAGATACCTTGCTCTGGTGGCCTAGTGTTAAAAAGATGCACTGTAATCCTGAAGGCACAGAGTTCAAATCTGCCAGCAGCTCCCCAGGAGGAGGATGGGCAATCTCCCATGCGATTAACTTTCTCTGAAAACCTGCTAGCGGGTCAGCTATGGGTCAGTTCTGACTCAATGGCACACAACAACAATAAACACCACCTTGGTCTGAAAAAAGAATTCCCGTGAACTTCTTAGCAAACCCTCTAATTAAGTATCTTCAACATAAAATATTAAATTCCACATTTGACACCTAACAAGTCTGAAATGACACCCTCAAGGTTCCACTGATCTGATAGGATCTCTTGCCTTTAGCACTTACTGGCCAAGGTTGTGAAGCATTCCGAAAGTTGAACCTCAGAGCTTGAGATAACAAGTAGAGAATGATTGCATGCATGCATTCTTATCAAACTGGCATGCTTTTCCACTCTGTTTGCACTGTATTTTAATAGCTAAAATGCAGCCTCCTCACTAATATAGGAGTTTCAAAAATCCAGGAAACTTTATCTCTACCCCACACTATAGACAAAACATATATTTACATAAGTGTATTTTTCTAGGAAGAAACCACTAGATTGATTACATTCTCAATGGTGACTATGATTAAAAAGCA